AGTGGTTAAGAGCACTGACTGCTCTTGCAGAGGACCTGGGTTTGATTCCCAGCACCGACATGGCGGTTACAAACCATCCTTAACTCTAGTTCCAGGAGAACCTGATGCCCTCTTCTGACATCCTTGGCATTGCACAACATGGGCACACTCACATACATGCAGCCAATACACTCATACACAAAAAATAAAAATAATAAATTAAAAAAAAAAAGAGTTCAAGGGATTACACTTCCCAGACATTAGGCTTAAGTCCATATAAAAAGTGTTGTAGCATATGCCTTTAATCCCAGCACTTGGGAGACAAAGGCAGGAGGATCTTTGTGAGTCTGAGGCCAGCCTGGTCTACATAGTGAGTTCCAGGACAGCTGGGGCTACAAGGAGACCCTGTCTCAAAAAGACAAAAAAAAAAAAAAGATGTTTAGACAATTATTTCTCATTGATGATTTGGTTCCTAATCAGAAAGTGCTGCTCAGATGTAAAACTTCAAATCTTGGTCTGCAATACTGTGGTGCCCACCTGTAGCTAAGGGAGACAACCCGCTATTGTTCTAAAATGATGGATAAATTTGTTTTCTCCCCGTATCTAGAAGCCTTTGAGAGGGAACTGACACTGATTCTAACTACTCCAAAAGCTATCAAAATACCCGAAAGCAAATCCTGAATCCAGCCTTGGGCAGACAAAAGAAAAATGAAGAGGAACCCAATAGAGGGATGTTTTGGAAGCTCTCATCAAAAAAATCTCAATGAACTCTCATATCTCTCATATGAACATTTGAAATTTGCCTTGTTCTGACTTTTTTCTGGTTCTCCCGTCTAGAACTTGTAATGCTAACTACTCTTGCCTTTACTTCTCCTTCACATCCCCTATTCACCAGTCGAGGACTTTCTTTTCTTCCTACAGATAACAGCTATGCAATTTGGGAATCTGTTAGATAGACCCACTGAAGGGACAACCCCAACTGCCTCACCCTGTGTCTCTGTTCAGCACGGAAGAAGCCAGAGCAGTCGTGTCCCGATTCCCTATCAGCAAGCTGGGTAACTGCTTCAGAGGTTGGTGTGATAAGAATAGGAGGTAGAAGAGCCGGGTGTGGTGGTGCACACCTGTAGTCCCAGCACTTGGGAGGCAGAGGCAGGCGGATCTCTATGAGTTCAAGGCCAGCCTGGTCTAGACAGTGAGTTCCAGGACAGCTGGCGCTACAGGGAGACCCTGGTTCAAAAAGACACACAAAAAAGCAGTCCTAATAACTATTACCAAGGCAGTAAGGGTGAAAAAGACCCCAAAGAAAAGTAGCCAATTTCTTGGCTAAAAGTCAAATGTCCCATACTATGTTCCAAAAGCCAAAATGACAAAAGTATTTGGGAGCTCTTATCTAACCCTATAAGATATATGAGAGAGAGAGAGAGAGAGAGAGAGAGAGAGAGAGAGAGAGAGGATTTGATCAAAACACCTTATATGCATGTATGAAATTCTCAATAAAGTTTCTTTTAAAAGTTAAAAAAAAAAATCATGAGTAATGTGTTTGGCCAGGTATGGTGGCACCTGCCTTTAATCGTAGCACTTGGGAAAAAGAGGCAGGCCAATCTCTGTGAACTCAAGGCCAGCCTGGTCTACATAATGAGTTCCAGGCTAGCTAAGGCTACAGGGAGACCATTCTCAAAAAGACACCCCCACCCCCCCAAAAACAGTAATGTGTTTGATCCTGTCCCAGGATGCACTGACATAGTAAGTTGCATAGTGTCCATCACATTGTGGTTGGCTTGTTTTGTTGAAAAGGATAGTCTTGCAAGCTTCTTCCTACAGTATTCCTTGAAGGCTTCTAGTATGCTATGATGGTTAAATCTTATTTCTAGGGTCTGGCACATGTTAGGCAAGTGCTCTTCCACTGGGCTTTAACACCTAGCCCTCAATAAAACAACAACTTTTTGAGACAGACTCACTCACTAAGTTCCACAGTCTGGCCCAGTTACATCTTGAGCTTTTGATCCTCCTGCCTCAACCTCCTGAGCACCCAGAGTTATAGGCTGGAGCCACACAAAGCATTAATTTTCAACTTGATTAGACTGAGACATGCCTAGGAGATGAGTGAAGCATATGTCTACGAGTGTCTGCAATGATGTTTCCAGAGACTATTAGAACATGAGGGCTCTCTGACCTAATGAATGGATTAATCTCTTGATGGTCATAATATCATGACATTATTAGTAGGTGGTAAGAGGTGAAGTCAAGTTAGAGAAGTCACTGGGAAAGGAGCATATTCTTGAGGCTGTAACTTGTCCTGGCTTCTTACTATATTCTTTTCCTCTGCTTCTTATTTGCCATGATGTAAACAGCTTTCTCTTCTACACAATCTCACTGCCATTACATTTTACTTCACGCAGACCTAGAATCAAAGGAACTAAGTATAGACTCAAATCTCTGAAACCATAGGCCTTCTTTAAGTCATTTATGTCAAGTACTTTGTCACACTGAGAAGAAAACCAGCTATTAGTTGCTTGATAAAACAGGATATATGAGAGATTGTGCTTTCGGAGGGCATGGAAAGAAACTGCTAAATCGGGATGCAAATTTTTGAGTTTTCCATAGCAATAAACTAAGGAAATGTTCAACAACTCTGAAGGCCATGCTTTCTCCCTGGACACAGTGTTCACCTTCTAACATGAAGTAGTTGTAGAACCAATTGCAGAATACTTTAGACACCAGCTTTATTTTTGTTTGCCATACTTCCAATGGGCTGGCAAACCAGTTCTCTTTTTTTGTACATGCTTACAGATTCTGAGCACTTTCTATCATTAGGGGTTTGCACTTATGTTGCTCTAGGCATTAATACAATGGCAAAGTTGCACAAACTGAATAATTTCAAGCTATATATTTTGAATACCATCAGTAAGTTTGTCAATGCTCTTGAAAAAAAAATTAGACATTCTCTTTACCATTGAAAAGTTGTTCTTCCACATAATTCTTTTCCCATTAGGCACTTAAGAGGAATTCTTCCATGGAGTCCTGATCTATAGAACTTCTCTCACCTTGAAGTCAACTTTTTCACTACATCACGTTAAAATGTACAAGCCAACCTCACTAGCTCAGAAGGTTTAATCACTTAATTTTGATGAGCTGAAAGCCTAACAATGCTATTTACTATGCTTCTTGTAAATAGTTCATAATTTCATAAATCCACAAATTTAGTTTCTATAAATATCACTTCTGTTCTTGGAGTGGCCTTGTATACTGATTAGGAGACTTCTTTCTTTCTTTCTCTAGCTGTATCATTAATCATCATCATCATCTTCATCATCATCATTATTTAAAGACAGGGTCTTACTATGTAGCTCTAGCTGACCTAGAACTTGCTATGTAGAAATCACATAGATTACAGAGATCCATCTGTCTCCACCTCGCCCCGAGTGCAGTGATTTAAAGACCTGTGCCACCACCTTTGCTGATTCATTCATTTTAAATTCATACAAACCACAGTCTAACTCATACTTTATTTAATACATGTATTAGCTTTCTTGTAGTCAAGGCCACTAGGTAGCTCTTCAGCACCACACTTGTGGGCCCTTATAAAATCATCAACAACAACAAAAAAAAACATGTTATAATGCAAGGATAAAACAAACATGGCCTGAGTTTCCAAAATGAGAGAACAAAATGTAACAGCATTGTTTCAATTTACTGGAAACACATACCTCAGGTAATTCAAATCACTCTGCATGTCAAAATGGCTTAAGTACTGATTTAGGTTTGTAAGTTTTGGTAAGTAGGCAAATTCACAAACAAAATCTACAAATAATTGGAGCTGGAGAGATAGCTCAGCAGTTAAGAGCACTGGCTGCTCTTCCAGAGGACATGGTTTCGGTTCCCAGCACCCACATGCCAGCTAACAGCTGTTCCAAGAGATCTGATGCCCTCTTCTGGCCTCCAACAGCACTGCACAATACAGGTACATTTAACATACATGCAGGCAAAACATACATATAAAATGTCTCAAAAATTAAAAATACATTTCTGGCGTGGCCATGGAGGACAATGCTACCACTAACCCCTTGCAGCTCCTGCCTCTAGAGCTTGTGGACAAGTGTATAGGATCACGAATTCACATTGTAATGAAAAGTGATAAAGAAATTGTCAGCACACTTCTAGGATTTGATGTCTTTGTCAATATGGTGTTGGAAGATGTCACAGAGTTTGAAATTACACCAGAAGGAAGAAGGGCTACTAAATTAGATCAGATTTTGCTAAATGGAAATAATATTAACAATGCTGGTTCCTGGAGGAGAAGGGCCTGAAGTATGAATGGATTTCCTTGATTCTGTTTCTTTTACCTTTAATGTTTAGATTCAGTAATGCTAAGTTTCCTGTTAAAGGGAAATACTTTGAAGATGTACACCCATTTTTCTAAACTAATCATGGTTACTTGAAAAAAGTTTGCGCTTTTTTTAAAACCAAAAAATAAAACGTTTTTGATTTAAAAAAATTAAAAAATACAGTCTTGAACAAGAAGGGAACTTGGTTCTAAAGGATACTGCTGTGTGACTTCAGGCAAATCAACAACTTACACCTCAATCTCCTTAATTGTGTAAGTAGGAGAAAACTTAATAAAGAGAATCTACATTTACTATATGCCAGGTACTAGATTATTTTGGAATACACTCTGTGATATTCCACCCAATTTCAGAACAGGGAAATTCAAAGTCAAGTATCCTATGATTGTGAGTCTGCAAACACTGTATCATGCCAATTAACCATGCCATAGTGAAAATCTATACTTGACCTCAACCTTTTAAAATGTTCACTTGTCTGCTACTCAACAGGGACGATTTATAGCTATTTACGCTTTCTACTAAAGGATCCAAATTAATAAAAAATGCAAAAAAAAATACAAGCCATTCTGTTAAGTACATGCTATGTGCTAAGAATTACAAAAAGCAGCAAATCTTCTTTCATACTCGTAACAGGTCAAGTTGGATCTTTTTATTGCTCCCATAGCACAGATGAGAAAAGGGTTAGAAGCTATGTAATCTGGCAAGGGATTACAAGGGATTTCAGTTAAAACCCAAACATTTTCATCATATATCAAAGCTTATGTTACTGATTACCACAAACACAGTCTAAATAACAATGGAACAAAACAGCTACCACGTGTTCACATACCTATAATCTAAGAGGTTGAGGCAGGAGGACGGAAGCAAGTTCCAGGCCAGCCAAGGGCTGCATGGTGACGCCCTATCCCAAAACAAATGTGGGTGCCCACTTTTTGGCCTGATTTTATAAATTCAAAGAACAGTGAAATAATTTGCTTAAAATTATCCATCTAAGCTCTCATGTTTTCATTATAAATACAGAGTTAAAAGATCAGAAAAGTTTGCAAAGAGAGAAAGTTCTAAAGACAAAGGCAGTAATAGCCACAAATGCATCCTAATCCAAAGATATGAAAAGTGAACTGTCAGTTATCATCAGCTCTGGTTAGTATTTTTCATACTTATAATTTTTATGTTTATGAGTGTATTGCTTACATGTAGGCAGGTATGCCTATGTCATGCAACACCTATGGAGATCAGAAGAGGGCGTTGGATCCCCTGGAACTATAGACAGGGGTCAGCCACCATTGGGTGCTGGGAATAGAACCCGGGCCCATCTACAAGAGGAGCCAGTGCTCTTAAACACTGAGCCATCTCTCCAGGCTCCATCTCTGGTTAATTATGAGAATCAATTAAACAACTTTCTAAATAAAGAGTTTTTGAATTAGAGTCAAGGTACTGAAATGTCAAAACCTGCTAGGTGACCTTACTACTGCTCAGAACTAAGAATCTCTTATCTTTTTACCACAACAATGCCTAGTCCAGATACTTGTTGTGATGCCAGTAAATGACTCCTAAAGAACAGAGCTTCACTTGAACAAGGATGCTAGAAACTCCAGAAAAAGCAGCACAGGAAGGCAGTCAGTACCTCATTGTTCTTCAAGGCAAGGCAAAAGTACTGCTTCTGCTGTCTAGTAATCATTACATGTAAATGAATACTTTCAATCTATGAAATGCTTCAAATACTAATGATGTGCTGCATTATATAAAAAGTATTAAAGGCCAAATAAAAAAACACATATGTATTTTTGGAATTGACACAGATCCTCAGATCCCTACTGGGAATCCTTACAGCCTCATTTCCCTTTATTCCATTGGAGATCCACAACAAGCTGGACCCTAATGTGTAGTTCTCCCAAATACTCAGGCACTGTTATTCCTCTTTTTTCCTCTTAGCAGCCTTCTACTGGTTGTTGACTATTGGTCCATTCATTCCTTCAGGGAGAGAGAGAGGAGAATCATCTCAAACCTACTGCTACTCATTCATCATGGGAATGTCAATTCAAATACCAGTACACACCAGTGTTAGTATCTTCCCAGTGTTAGTAGAGGCTATCATTAATTCACTTTTATGTTCCTTGTGTATCTCAAAGTTTCCATTGTAACAACAAAGTGAAAACCTTTCATGATGATCAGATTAACTCAGTCTCATTACTTTTTGCTCATTCTATAAACCACATCATTACTCAGCTGAGTAATTAATACTCACTGTCATTTTAGTTCGGGACGTCTGACAGCCCTGATCTAAAAAACATAAATGAATTTAAAATAAGACAAATACCACTTAAAATTTTCCAAATCCATGTTTGTCATTAAATTTTACCAATTTTAAAAAGCAAGTTTAAGAAAGAATCTCAAATTTGAGCAGACAGTATAGACATAAGGAATTAAGTTAACTCATTTCTCATGCTGCCGCTGTGAATATCAGTGCTTTGAGGGAAATATTGTATTATTAGAATTAATGCTTAAATAAAATACAAAGTCATAGTTTCTTAAGGGTTTTGTTGTTCCTTATAGTGTACAACTAGCACATACGATTTGCTAACAAACTTTTCATTTTAAATTATATGTCACACAATATCTTTTTTAAATGTTTTTCTTCTGTTTCTCTTTAATCTAGTTCAATGAAGCCCAATTTTTTTTTCAATTAACATGTTTTTAAAGATAAATAAAATAAGCACTGTATATACAAAATATCAACATACAGGGAACTTTGACCCAAATAAAGGATGGAATTTAAATCAGTTGCTATTTTCAGTCTATAGGAAACTCTGAAAACTGTTTTGGGGACTGTATAATCTAGGGGCCTCATTCTACACTGAGCTACACTCCTAGCCATAACTACCTTAAAACTCAACTGCTCATTATCAATGCCTGAGAGTCAAAACTAAGAATATGAAGACTGATATAAAAAAGGCTTTATAAGTGGCCACATTACATACCATAATGTAGGTTTTCAGGTCCTTTCTGAGTCGTCATATTGGGCTCATTTTGTTGACAGTAGAAACGGAGCAAGCAGTGCTGATCGCAGAAATGTTTCATTTCTCCACGCCACTGTACTCGCTCTTTAAGAGTACCTTGAGATTTGCAGCAATCACACCTTGCAGCCTTAATGAAAAAGGGTTCAGACATTTCAAATTAGAAGAATTAATCATACACATGATATTAGCTAACAAAAATGATGAAGTATTGAAACAGTATCAGACAAACTACAAAGATTAAAATATACAATACATAAGTGCATTGACAAAATCCCACCCTATAATTACTAATGTGAAAAAAGGAAAAATTTAAGAACTGGAGAGATGGTTCATCAGTACCAATCATAGGACCTGAGCTCAGATTCCAGCACTCATGAAACTAGCCCCACAAACACTACTAACTCTAACTCTTGGGGATTTGATACCCTCTTTGGATTTTCACAAATAAAGGCATGTACATTTGCATACACACACACACACACACACAGATTCATGTACACTCACCTAGATACATATATAAACAGACATAAATCTTTTAAAAATTAACTAAATGAACATGGTTAGACAAAACTGATACAACTTAATTACTTTAAAATAATTTTGAAAGTGGGCATAGTGGTGCATACCTATTACCCTAACAGTCTGCCGGCTAAGGCAGGAAGATTGCAAGTTTGAACCAAGTCTAGGCTACATAGTAAGATCCTAAATAAAACAATAAAAACCCTCAAATCAAAAAGCAGCAGCATTAAGAAAAACTAATTTTGGGGGCCATAATCATATACAAGTAGAAATCTCTTATAATATTATCTTGAAAATTTCTGATTAATGAACAGATTACTAAGCTTAGTTGTACAAGACCAACATAATTTTTATTTATTTTATTTTTTAATTTAAAGAGAAAAAAACATGTTTACTGAGTACACTGCAAGGGGCAGCAGCTGGAAGTGGCAAGACTACCACATGTAGCCAAAACGAAGATAATTTTTAGCAAACTCTTCTGATGGGAAATTCAGAAATTAAGTATTTTGGTTTTTTAGCAGTTTGATATAAAACTTAAGCTGGATGCGGCGGTGCAGGCCTTTAATCCCAGCACTTGGAAAGCAGAAGCAGGCAGATCTCCAAGTTGAAGGCCAACCTTGTCTACATAGTGAATTCCAGGCAAGCTGGAGCTACAGGGAGGCCCTGTCTCAAACAGGCCAAAAAATAAAATAAAACTTAAAAGGGCAAATTAAATTTTCTAAAAAAGAACTTTGAAAGCATATTTTATTTTTTAAATATATATTTTTAATATTGGTACAATGCCCGCAGAGGACAGAAGAGGCCATGAGATCCCCTAGAACTGGAGTTACAGATAGTTGTTAGCTGCCATGTGGGTGCTGGTATATAAACTTGGGGCTTCTGCAAGAACAACCAGTGTTCTTAACAGCTGGACCATACCTCCAGCCCCTGAAACCATATAATACCTAGTATTTAAAAAAACATCAAACAAAAAAAAACAAGCAGCATCTTAAGAGCTCTAGGAATACAACCAAACCAAAGCAATTCCTAACTTCACATGAAAAAAAAACCCTAAAATTCACATAATTATATTTTATGATAGTGACTATATAATATAGGAACAGATTTTTGCTTTAAAGAGATTTTATTTTACCTAAATTTTGCCCATTTTTTAACATTTTAAGCAGTGAGTGAACCAAAAGATATGATTTCAAATACAGTACTTCTGAAAATTAAGTTTTTGACCTAGAAACAAACACTGTAATTTTAAAAGCTGATCACCAGCTTGACTTCTAATAAAACAATATTAAGTAGTATTTTGCACTTCATAATAATTGTGGCTGTGGCTTTGTTATATATGGCTTTAATTATGTTGAGGTATGTTCCCTCCAGTCCAATTCCCTCTAGGACTTTGAACATAAATGCATGTTGAA